TCCTCTTTTCTTCCTTTTCCTTAATTATTTTCTTTCTCGAGGGAGAAGAAGAAAAAGAATAGGAGAAGGAGAAAGAAAGGAAAGGAGAAAGAAGAAACTTCAACACGAGGGGGTGGTACCAATACCCCCTCCCCGATAACATTATTTTCCCATGTATATGTATGTCGCGTCATTGTCGATATAACCCCCTCTAGATACAACTGCAGCACCCCCCTCGGCCCTCTCGCTCGACCAAAACTCTCGAGGACACCCAAACCCTAGAGAGAAAACGATGTTGCAGGTCTCCTACGTACCCCCTCCCGCCGCGCCCCTACCCGACAAATTAACTCTCTCAAGGCCACCCAGATTTATCAAGTTAAAAGAGCGTTATCGTCGAGGCCACCCCAAACCCTTGAAGCTTTGTGTCGAGGCGACCCCAAACCCTAGAGAAGCAGCGTCGAGGCCACTAACATGATTCCTTATTGTGATTAGCTAGCTAGTTCTACATTTGCCACTATGTACCATGTTTGAATAATAATTGACATGTTGTCAATATTTGCAGAAACTATGGAGCACTCCCGAGACGAAGAAACAGAAGCGATGTTGGTGGAAATAATCGCAAATGGAAGTGATGATGTTGCGTCATTTCTCATCGACACCGTTGGTCAGCTGGATGAAGAAGAGGGCTATGATTATGATGGCTTCGACCCATTAATGCCTGTACAAGAGGAGGACTATGTTCATGATGGCTCCGGTGACACAATGGAGGTACAAGACGAAGGAGACCGTGCTGACTGCTCCGGTCACCGAACCGAGTCCGGCCAGGTATATATATATATTAGTTAAGCCCGTGCTGACAAGTTAATTGATGCATCCATTGTTTTGGTATATGTACACATATTAATTACTGTCGTCTTTCTTCCTTATAATTTCTAGCCCTCCGGATCGAGCACAACTTCGGTAAGGAGACGAGGCCCGAAGAAAAAGTTGAGCTCGGATGAAAAGTTTGAGATCATAGAAATCGCGCCCGACGGCGAACCGATTGAACCCATCCGGACAAAGAAGACATTTTCTGCTCAGTGTGGGGTTCTTGTTAGGGACAGGATCCCGATCAGCATCCAGCAATGGTATAAGCCTGCTAAGGATGAAGACGCTGAGGTGTCTTATGTCAATGATATGCAGAAAGAAGATCTTTGGAATGAGTTGAAGGCAAATTTCACCCTACCGCCAAAGGAGGATCCGGAGAAGCCAGTTAAAGAGCAATTAATCAAGTCTTGCGCTCTTAAGAAGATGGCAGGCCTAATGAGGAGGTGGAGGAAAGAGCTGAACCAGTTTGTCAAGGAAAAAGAGACACCAGAATTCATCGGCAAATATGAGAAGATCAAAGATCACTGGCCCGCATTTGTGACCCACAAGACATCGGAAAAGAGTAAGAAGATGTCGGAGACAAACAAGAAAAATGCTGCGAAGAAGAAGCTTCACCATCGCACGGGGTCAGGTGGCTACCTCAAAGCCCGGCCTAAGTGGTCCAAGGCTGAGCATGATCTGCTTGAAAAAGGGATCGAACCAGAGACAATGCGCTGGCCAGACCGTTGCCGGACTTGGTTCTTCAGGGCTGGCGGAACCTTGGACCCTGTAACAGGGCAGTGTCAGTGGACGGACGAGCAACTGCAAACACCAGTCAAGAACCTTCGACACTATATCGATGCAGCGCAGCGAGGGACGTTCCTTCCAAACAGGGAGAAGGACGAGCTCACAATGGCCCTTGGGAATCCCGAGCACCCTGGACGGACACGAGGCACGCCAGGCTCCCTTCCGTGGAAGGTTGGTTTTCCGGACGCAGGGGGTTACAAAACCCACGAGAGGAGGAAGAAACTGGTGCAGGACCAAATGCAGGCGCTGCTTGGAAGTGTAATGGGGCTAGAGGATCGAGAAGAAGAACGAGAAGCAGCAGATCGCAACAAACGACATGCCGAAGCTTCCCCCGAAGCTACCCCGCCATCTCAGCGGAGAAGTAGCGTTGCTTCCACTGAGCTGCTTCAGCCGGAGCATGTCTTGACGGCTCCTGCCAGCTATCCCGTGGATGGTATCACGGAGTCTCAAAATTGCCACATTATGGCGCGATGCATGAATTTGAAGGTCAAGGCGGCTGTTGGCCAAGTTTATCCTAGTGGACCCAGCACAACTTATCACTGCCAGCCGATTCCAGAAGGATTTGCTAAGGTGATGGTGGATGAAATAACGGAGGGATTTGAGGACCTCGCGCTTGAGCACCCTACCGGTGAAGGGGAGACTAGGCTGGGTTCTGCTCTGAAGACTCCATGCCTATGGCGGAAGGAGCTCATCGACCTTCTGAACTGGACGCCTCCGCCTCCTCCTCCTCCTCCGGCGAGTCAGGGCACTCCGCCTCCTCCACCGCCTCCTCCTCCGGTGAGTGACGATCAGGGCACGCGTGGCGGCACTCCGCCTCCTCCTCCGGCGAGTGACGATCAGGGCACGCGTGGTGGCACTCCGCCTCCTTCTCCGGCGCGTGGCGGCACTCCGCCTCCTCCTTCTCCGCCTCGCCAACAAGGGCGGAAGAGACCCGCCGCCGCCCCGGCTGCTCCGACGCGTCGTAGTCCTTCTCCTCCGCCTCGTAAGCAAGCACGAAAGAAGACAGACGCCGCAGCCGCTCCATCTGCTCCGGCGTCTAGCAGCACAAGAAGAGAGAGGCAATACAGATACGGTCCACCTCTAAAGCCTGTAGAGAAGTTACCGTACGAGAGGACCAAGGAGGAAAACAATACGATCGTGCAGGCCCAAGTGAAGGAGTTCTTTGAAGGGGTGAAAGCAAAGATACATCCACCTCCGGAGGAGAAGGTAGATCCGGTGAAAGCAAAGCGCACTCTCGATGCCCTGAGGAAACCACCAAAGTCTCCGCCGAGAACCAACTATGAGCGCATTACTGAACAGACATATCTCCAAGCCAAGCGGTCGGGAACTACTGTCAGTGATAAAAGGTCAAAAGAACAACGAGCAAAGGGGAAAAATTGCCCAGCTCGGCGAACAAGCACAACAATCGTGCCCCCCGCTCAATGTGTCTAATCCTCCGGGGACGGTGGCCAGTTATGGCAATCTTGAAGATTACCTACCTGACGATGTACTTCCTGATTTCATGGAGGTGGACTTATTCAGATACGAGTACGGGAAGCCTCTCGTCAAAGATGAAAAGTCTCTGACAACAATGATGCGAAGATTCCATAGTTGATACATGAAAACCTGCAGAGAGTCTGAGGGGACGAACACTTTGTATCTGAAAATTAAAGAGGAGCACGACCTCGTTTCAAATGATGTGTTGTCTATTCCATTTGAGGAGTTCTTCGAGTTCTTCAATCATAAGGCCCTCGATAAATTAATGGTCTTTTGCTACTGCCTGTAAGTACTATTTCTGTCATTAGTCTGTATATATAGCTCGGCTCTTTCATTGCATGTATTTATAATTAATTATCCTGAATATATTATGCAGATTGAAGATCGTCGAGTGCAAAAAAATGAAATCTATGATATTGGGTTCATTAACACAAATATCATAGATGTATTTCTGGTTAAAAAGCGCGTCGAAGAGGCCGAGGACAACTTGCTACAATCATTGATCAAAAATCAAAACAAAGATACTATACTCTTTCCTTACAACGGCCCGTGAGTGTTACTGTCGTGTGCATATTCGGTTTTCCTTATTACTCGAGCGAGGTTAATGTAATTGATGAGTTATGCATGCGTGCAGGTACCACTATATTCTTCTGGAGATTAAGCTTGAGCGTGGACTAGTAACCGTCTTAGACTCCAGACGGAAAGATCCCAGCACCTATGCGGACATGACTGAAATGCTCAGCAAGTAAGTTCAATCGATCATTATCGCACCATATCGGCAACTTTTTGTTCATTTCCTGATATCTCAAGTAATAATAATTATTTTCTTTGTCTTGCAGGGTTTGGAAACAGTTCACCGCACAAGCTCCGGGACTGCCGAAGGAGCTGCGATATGTATACCCGAAAGTAAGTACTACTGGCGCGCATCTCCCGTTGATTCTATAGCTATACTTTCATCAATGCCCTTTATATAATGCTTCATTATCAGTTTGATTGACCTCTATTTCTCGTAAAGTGCTTGTGGCAGGAGGAAGGGAATGATTTCTGTGGATACTACGTGTGCGAGTTCATCCACAACGCGACTTTGAAAAACAAGCGGGGCTACTCTAGAAGACAATATGAAGTGCGTAAGCAATATTCACAATTTCATTTTATTACACCATCATTTCTGTTGAGTTTCATTCATATATATGTATTAATTAACCCCCTTCTTCAAATTAATTAGACGTGGCAGATGTGGTATGAACTCCTAGAACCAGATCGCATGAAAGCAATTCAAGAGGAATTGGCGGGATTCTTTCTTGAACACGTCATCAGTAAAGCCGAAGAATACCATGTGGAACTTCAATTCAAATGCTAGTGGTTTGTAATTAAGAGATCTTATATAGATTGTACATATATGTAGCCAGTAAAACTTGTTGTTCGACCAATCTCTCGGAGAAGGAGAGATCGATCGATCACTTCTCTCGGTATGCATGACGAACTTCTGTACTGAATGGTTCTCTCGATCACTTATGTATATATACTACGTAGCGTCGACCAAGCACGGACATAAGAGGGGACACTTCTCTCTATTAATTAGCTAGCTAACACAATATACGAAACACCTAAATTAACCCTCCAAAACCCCCAACCCCCCTCCTTTCAGAAAAAAACAAAAACCCCAGCCACTGGAATGCAGACACGTGGATGCCTTTTGGTCCCGGTTGGAGCCACCAACCGGGACCAAAGGCCCCCTGACTGGGCTCGGCGCACAGGGCACATTGGTCCCGGTTCGTGTTTGAACCGGGACTAATGGGTTGAGGTATTAGTAACGACCCATTAGTCCCGGTTCCTGAACCGGGACTAAAGGCCCTTACGAACCGGGACTAATGGGTGGTTTTCTACTAGTGCTAGCAGGTCCTCAGCTTTACAGAAGGCGTCTTTGAGCTGCTGGACCCATTTGTTCAACATTGGCCTGTGAGGGCTCCTGTTAGCTGCTTCAACCAGTAGAGCGAACTGCGGCATGATGTTGGTCTCCAGTTCATGGAGCTCACTCACCATGTCCACACCAAGACACCTTGCAGGGTCAGTTAGGAGCTTCTTTAAGATTGGAGATACCACCAACTGTAAACCAGCCCGCACGCCAGCCACAGCCAGCGCCACCTCTGCCATGGAAAGCACACCGTGGGTATAGGGGATGATGTATCTCTTTTTTTTTGTTTCTTGGAAGTCGAAAGACACGGTGGGAAAATTGGGATTTTTTTGAGGAATGAAAATAGGGAATATAACAGAGCAAAGATGGGAAATAGGTAAGATTACTCCGAAGGCAGGTTTTTTTGTGTGTATTCACAGAATCATCTATTTGGTTGGTGGAGGAGATGGAAAAATGATGTGAAGAAGTGTGTCTGGAGGGGAAAACGAGACGGAATGGAAGAGACACAAAAAGGAATGGATGAACATGGAGAAGTACAGAATAGCTAACGGGGCCCTGAGCTCTAATGATAGCAATAGTTGAAAAATCTGCAGGAGTAGAAAACAGGGAAATGAATCAGAGAGCTGAATCATACAACATACTGTAAACAGCGCCGCTGCATACTGATTCTTCTTCTTGCCTTTGTGCAACTGGATGTATTTGAAGAAGAAGACTAACAGGGACAAGAAACAAAACAGAGGGCAGCAAACTTACGCAGATGAAGAGGCGAAGGACGATGAAGGCAGGGAGCGATTGTTGCAGCAGGTGTGGTGATGAAGGGGAATGGGAGGTTGCGGGAGAGGCGAATTGGAGGCAGCACTAGACCATAAGAGAAAGGCTCTCCAATGGGGGTCAACAAAACATGAATGTATCTGATCCAGCCACTAGCATTTTTTAACTTGAGCTGAGCCCAACTTGCTGAAAAGCTATCAGGTACCCACTGTCTGTAGCGCACTCACTAATCAAACGATGCTTAAAATACATGAAGCGGACGCGTAAGCTGTAATTAATAAGAACAAGTGCCCATCCGCTCATGTTTCTTAACAATGAAATGGTAGGTCATCTTACCTGCTTCTCTTTATTTATTTCTTTCTCTCTTTTCCATTACCATCACTGGACCTTTTGTGTGATTTCCAGGAAGCATCGCTCCAGTTGTGAAAGGTATGACAAATAATAAATTTAATTATGATCTCATATGCCTTCAATATACAGGATATATATGGCAATTGACAATAGCAAATGGGTAATATGATGTGCATTAAAGGAAAAACAATGAAGACCGATTATGACATTGCGAAACAGAGAGGAAGTGGGTGATAAGACAGATTATGACAACTGTAGCAGTTTGGGCCTGAAGATAGGTCACCTTACCTGCTTCTCCTTCTTCTTTTTTCCATCGCCATCACTGGCCTTTCATAGTTTCCAAGAACAAGAACAAACTGGAGCAGCTAGGCTTCATCCTTGCCAGCACATAGAGATAGAGGTTAACTAACTGCTATGAGGCATGCATATTCAGCAGTAAACATAGTTTAACTAACATGTTTTAACATCCTCGGAAAGAAAAAAGAACAACGATTGCATCTGAATTGGATGATTTTCCCCCTCTTGGTGACTGACCCAAATTGAATTGAGTTGTCAAGACAAATTGCATCAATGGTTATACTACATGGAAGCAATTGGCTGAACATAGATAGGTTAACTGTAGCATGCTGAAGCCAGCAAACTCTGCTCCAGCTAGTTGTGTATTTTAACTTGAGCTGAGCTCAACTTGCTGAAAACCCCAAGTAACAGATACCCACTGTCTGCAGCGCATCCACTAATGAGTAATGACTAATGAAATGATTATAAGTACAACAAGTGCCCCAAGCTGCCGGCCTAAGCTATAGTTTAATAAGAAGTAAGTGCTCATTTGTTCATCTTTTGACGATTGTTACTTGAGGGAGTAAATCCAGGTAACCATTGTTTTAGCAGGGATGGATGTCACTCGGCAGTTAATTAGAAGCAGTGGTTCTGCTGCAAACACGAGGCAAGTCACAAAACAGCAAGTCTGGGATTGAGTTGAGTTGTTAACCTGAAGGCTCACCAATACCAGCTTGAATCTTGTCAGTTTGCATATCGTGTAGTGTAGGACCTGGTGGTAGCACAAACTAGTAGAAAAAGAGCCTAATGTGAAGCATATTAGTCCCGGTTTGTAACAAAACCGGCACTAATGTGATGGCGGAGATCATTAGTGGCGGTTCGTGGCTAACGTTTAGTACCGGTTCGAGCAACAAACCAGTACTAAAGAGGTTGTGGCGGACTGTGGTCAGGCTGCAGCCCCACCAGTATCTTTAGTACCAGTTCAATGCCACAAACCGGTATTATAGGTCTCTAGTTGATTCATTCTGGAGCGGTTTTTTAGTCCCATCTCGCTCCGCTAACAGAGTTTTTACCACTTTAAATATGTTACTTCTCAAACTATTACAAGCAAGAAAGTCAGTAAAGTTTGTTTTAAAGAGTACGTATGAACAAAAATGTCGCCTTACTTGCTTCTTCTCTCTTTGTTTTCCATCACCATCACTGGGCCGTTGTGATTTCGAAGCGCCTTCCTACGCTCGAGTTGTGAAAGCTACGACAAACAATAAAATACCATCTCTTATGCCTTTGATTTACATACAGGGAATCAACGGCAACATACAATAGCAAATGCGTAACAAATGCGGGGCTGGAGGTAGGTGGCCTGCTGGTGGGGGCGCTCCAGCCACCCTCGTTCTACGCGCGGCGGGGCGGCTGCGGTGCTCCCGTCTCGGGAGGTGGCGCGCGACCGGTCTCTTGCCGGATCCGGTCGGATCTGGCTTTGGGGGCCGGCCGGTGGCGCCTGGCTCCGGTGGTGCGTGCCCGGCGGCTCCGGCGCTTGGAGCTCGTCGGGCGACGCGGGTAGGTCTCGGTGGTGGCCTACCGGTGTCGTGGCGGCTTCACGGTGGCTCGATGGATCTGCCCGCGACAACGGCCAGCTTCTCCGGCGTCGGTTTCTCTACGTTCGGCCGTCTCGACCTTCACCCCATCTCCTCGTCGCCCGCGCGCTACTCCCATCAAAGGGCTGGTCCTCTCCCACCTGCGGTCCACCGCTCGTCTCGCGCCCGATGCCGCAGGACCGAGCTTGTCTCGCGCACGATGCAGCAGCACCGAGCTCGTCTCGCGCACGGTGCAGCTGGACTGACCTCGTCCCCCTCTCGTTGCTGCAGGACCGAGCTCATCTCGCGCTTGGGGCAGCAGGATGAGTCGGTGGATGCCAGTTCTGGCCGACCTATTGGGTCTCGACGCTGGGGGTTGCCCAGGGGCGCGAAAAGTGGGACCTTTCCGCTCGTCTCTTTCGTTGGGGTGCGGCGGGTCTCGAGTGAGGTGGTGTCGAGGTCTTGGATGCTGGGCGGCGGCCCTGGTGGTGGTTGCGCAGTGCTCTTGGGCAGAGCCCGTGCCCTGGTGCTGCCCAGTCACCATGGTCGTGTGGGCGGCGTGGTTGCCAGGGTGTGGCGTTCGGTGGCGGTGAATGTTGGCCGGGGTGAAAACCTGCTCTATCTTCGGACGGACCAGCGGTGACGAAGATCGTTCCCTTCTTGAAGGCGTCGTCGCAGCTCTCATTGCCCGTCATGCGGCTTCGGGGGAAACTCTGATCCTTGGATCGGGCGTGGCAGCGCTACGGCGTCGTTTCCTTCCTGAAGGCGCCGCCTTGGAGCGCATGGTTCATCATATGCAGCTTCATCTCTTCGGGACGGTAGTGCTAGGAGTGGTGTTGCTGCGCTCAGCGCCTATGTATCATGTCCTGGATGTGTGCGTGTGTTGCGGTGGCGTGGTGTGTGGTTGTGCCGGATGCTTGTGGTTTGGTGCTTTATATATAAAGCGGGGCGAAAGCCTTTTTCGGTAATGGATAACAATCATAACGATATGCATCAAAGGAACAACAATAAAGGCAGATTATGAGAAATTGTACTAGTAGTTTGTTACCTGCTTCTGTTTCTTTTCGGTCACCGTCAGTGGCCAGTTTCCAATAGCAAAAAGGAACAAGGATTGCATCTGAATCAGTGGCCCAAATTGAGTTGTCTAAGACAAAGTGCGTGCATCAATGGTTACAGCAACCTACCTCTGCATCTTACTCCCTCCGTTCGGAATTACTTGTCTTGGAAATGGATGTATCTAGAACTATTTTTAGTTTTAGATACATCCATTTCCAAGACAAGTAATTCCGAACGGAGGGAGTATCTGCTAAGGGGAATGAATGGCAACCTCCCTCCAGGGGCAGGATGGAGCTCTACCCGCTGATTCTGATTAAGATTCAGATTCAGATTCAGATTCAGATTACTCCTATGGGCATCAATTGGATCAAGAACCTCTGCATCTGCTTATGAGAAAACTAAATTTGGTTGGGGAGGGGGGGGGGGGCATTGGACCCCTTTGTCCTTCAAATAATAAACCTGAACCTAGATGCCTTGCTCTCTGCTGCCACGAGCATGCCTTGGCAGCGATCGAGGCACGCTTCTACGGATTCACCTGGGGCAAAATAAAGCACCGCTACTCCATCTTTGGCACTGGTAGTAACATTCGCTAGGTGATGGAACAATAAACACTATCGACGGTTAAGAGCGGATCGAGGAAAGGACAAGGTGCTTCATAGCTAGCTAGGGAGATCATATACTAGATCATTTTGGTAATTATTTTTCCTTTGCTAGTTCTCTTGTTAGTTCCTTCTTCTGCTATGGTGTTAATTAAGTTATGTCACTGGATACCATTATATCCTTGGGTGATACACGACTGAGTTACACAACTATGTTACTTGTCTAGCTGCTCCTGCACGAAAGTTTATAGCATCCATTGAGGAGGCGAATACCAAAAATTAAATTAGTTCTTTCAACAACTAGGCATATCTCATCATGTCTCCTGCCCGCACGCCCATCAACAGAATGGGTCAGCAGAACGAAAACACCGTCATATCGTTGAAGTTGGTCTTGCTCTCCTTGCCAACGCATCCATGCCATTAAAGTTCTGGGATGAAGCTTTCCTAGCAGCCACCTATCTCATCAATACTCCTCCTAGTAGCGTCATCAATTTCGACACACCCTTTGAGCGCCTCTTTCATACTAATCCTAACTATGCATCCCTTCGGGTGTTTGTTTGTGCTTGTTGGCCAAACCTCCGCCCATACAACACTCAAAAACTATCTTTCCGA